TCGATTTCCCTCGGTAGTTTTACGAACATTGAACTCCTGATGACTCCATTTACAAGGAGCATCTGATCTATCCCGAGCGGAAGATCAATCCTCTCACTCCCCCATAGCCGGCGAGGTCTCGCCGCACACAGCACAGGCGCATGATGTACACGACACTACAACGTGGGAGTGGGAGTGCGAGTCAAAACAACGTATGATCATTTTTGCACCGTGAATATCTCCACCCCTCCCTACGGTCTCCCCAACCAGAGAGGACTTCATCCGGCACCCCTGTCTGCGCATATTGGGGGCACGGAGCCCGTCGTCAATCAGAGACGTTCCCGCTTGCCTTGCCCCGCGGGCTGAGTGTCGAAAATAGATCCGGAGCAAATCACAACCGGGCACATGAGCTCATTCAGGGGGGGGTGGGGGGGGCAACCCACCCACGCTCAACCTGTTGCTGCTCACGGAATCCTCACGGTCGATGATGGAGACCGGGGGGGTGGAGATGGTATTTCTACCCACGAGTATGCCTGGCTGGGTGCGACGTGGAGGAAAAAACATTCCAAGCGGTTCACAGTCATTATATTTGCAATGATTGGAGCCGTGGCTCCAATGGTTTCGCGCACTGCGTTATGAACTTGATCTATCAATGGATTGACTAGGTCTTTACAACTCTTTGCAACATCTGTTTCGGCGGTGGCAGTCGGCGGAAGGAGAGAGAGGATGGGTCCTCCGCGGGGATCGAGGGATGATGGTTCGATCGTCGCATCACTACGCACGTTTGTCTAGCAACGAAGAGACCACGGATGATGATGGTTACGCGTGATATGTCTCGTGTACCTCGCACGCGGACCATTTTGATGCCGCGTTGGTCGTGATGCACAAGAACAAATGATGAAACTCGACACGTACGTCAATAACACTGCCTTTAAAAGGAACACGTAATAATCAGCCGCAACGTTTTGTGCTAACACATCTTACCACTACAATGCCTTACATAGGAAACACGTACTAATTCACCGATTACTAATCTATCATGTAATTACAATAACCCCCCTCCCCTCTGATCTCTGCACCTGGTGGGTGCAGTGATGACGTCGTCCTGCTCTATCTAAGACCTGAAGCAGGTGGATGGCTTCACGATTCTGGCAAATCGCCCGATGATGCTGGATGTAATTACCAGCGAAACGTCGTACTACTCAAGTTGTAAATGTCGTGGATTTACTCTCCAACACACCGGTGGGCTGAAGTAGTAAACTAATTGGCGCGTTGTTTACGTGACAATCCTTACTGGCTGTGTCGGGTGGTGGAGGGTTAGGACACATTGATACTTACGCGATCTAACCTAAAAACCTTTATTATGCATATTGGTCGCGAAAGCCTGCTACGTGTTAAACTGGGCTACGGCCCTTCTTGGGCCGTAGCCCAGTTGATGTGATATGGGCCATAGCGTACGTGCCCTAAAACGTCGCCTATTATTATAGACATTTATCATTTAAAGGCCATTATTGACGAACGTGAGAGGCCTTTTTGACATTGTATTCAGAGATTTATAGAAAAGATTTCGCCAGTGGGTGGCGCTACAGTAGTGCCGGGGTGCCGGACCATTCAACTGTGACACGCATTTGTTGATTTGTGTAATTTCTCACCCGATATTTTGGAACGTAACACAACGTCTACCTCGCGCGCATGCTTTCGGTGCACGTACCTTCGTGTCAATGATGGCAATGAAATAATTCAAACCGATGATCGATTTTTTTTGATTAATGAGAATCGTAAGTGGGCTTAGGTGGGGACACGTCGCTTGAAGGGAATGGACGATTGATGGTAGACGGTGAAGAATGACTGGAGTGGCAGCCCAGGAAAGGAACGCGTCTGCGAGGTCGTGCACCTAGGAGATGGAGCGATGGAATCAGGTAGTGTACAGGTGCTGTGTGGATTATTACTTCGCGGTACCGTGGAAGTTGTTGCTGGGGTGGGCGGCAGAGGCCTTCATCCAGCAGTGCATTTATCGTGGCTGATGTCGATGGTCGATGACCTCGGGCACATGACGTGAGTAGATATACATGTTCTTGGTTCTTTCGGTAAAGTCACGTAGAAGGGAAACAATAAAATAATAATAAAAACATAATAAAATACAATTCTCACGACGTTTCGGCCACATCGCAAGCAGCCGTCCTCAGAAGTCTTCTCGACAGACCTGTTCTCCACCTGAGGACGGCTGCTTGCGTTGTGGCCGAAACGTCGTGAGAATTGTATTTTATTGTTTTATTTTTATTATTTTATTATTTCCCTTCTACGTGACTTTACTGAAAGAACTAAGAAGATGGATTCCTGCAGTCACGAAAGCTTTAAATCGAAATTTAGATATACATGATGAAAAATGAGAAGAGGCTGTTCACCTTTTGGCAACAAAGGAGCCGGTGTTAAGATGTTCAAACACCAAATAGATACCTATTGCAAGGCATCAATTCGGCATTAACCACACTTACTTGTGGCAAAAAATGCAAACAAACATGATCTGATAATATATGCATTGTCTTTGAAACCGATCGGCAGACTTGATCCCTTGCAATATCTTTTTATTTGGTGTTTGAACAACTTAACACCTGCTTTATTGCCGGAAAGGGTAAAGCCTATTCTTTTTTTTCCCCCATCGTTTTGATTCTGGCAAAAAGGTCCCGTAAATATATGTATATACACAATCTCACGCTTTTAACAAAAGCTCGTCACATTCGTCAAAAACACTGCCTTAAACGGAAACAAAAATATAATAGGCGACTTTTGGGCAATGGACCCTTCTTCAGAGCAAAGCGGCCAGAAATGTTGAGTGGATAAGATCTGGACACGGCACAATACGGGTGGGTTCATCAACTCCTTGAGATCGATGAAAAATGTTTCGGATGAAAAGGTTTCGGGAGAGGCATGTTAAATCTCTCCAGGGTCTTCAATGAGGAAACGCATCTCTGGAAGTGCCACAAGAGCCTGTGTGGGCTATACGCGAGATCTTTGTAACAGTTGAGTGGTTATAATTATCAAACTGCGCTACGAACCTAGCCACCTGATTTCTATTCCCGGCCACGGATAACATCGGTGGGGAGCGATATTAGGAACGGCCCCTTGGACTCCCGTAATGCGACTCCGCCTTAAATGAGTACCTGGTGCAATGCGTAGTAAAACTTAAATCCCAAATGGGGAGACAAAAGCGGCCGGATGTTTTGCTGCAGATAATATTCCCTCGTGCGCCACACCAGACTCTTAATAGGCGCTCGCTGACAGCACTTGCCCCAGCGCTGGTGAAATGTATGATGGACAATGCTACACGGGAACGCACTCAGAAGTGCCTTTACCACGCTCCCATTGAATTGATATGGCGATAACAGAGCACCCTCGCGATACAAATTGTCGTGACGGATTAGCTTCACAAACGTGCGCGAGTATGTCCAATGGGCCGTCGACACAAACGCCGGCAATAAGAGCAGCGGATGTGTCTTTTATGGTTTCATAAATGCGATCGTGTGTCCGATGCTGCTCGTCTTCTGTTGTGTATCGTCACGTAACATCATCACCACCACAACCATCACAATAGCCATCATCGGGGAGAGAAGATGAAATCGCGTTGGGTGGTGAGATTACACGAACGGTACAGCACCCGCGGTGCAGATGGGCAGTGCGTTTGTATCACGGTGCGGTCAAAATGTGCACACGCAAGCCGCACATGCATACACCAGCGTATACACCAGCGTGTTGCATTCCTTCACTCCGAACATGTGTTATGATAATTTATACAGCCTTTTGTGTAAAGCCACTGCTGTATAAAGGACTCAACCACGCCGAGTCGGTAAAGGTTTTTTTTTTTAATTAGTATTATACTTCACGTTTGGTTAGTCCGAGTTGATGTTCGGTGGGGGGGGGGGGGGGTGTCCACATGCATTTACATAACCACTATACACAAGTTAACACTATGCACAAGTTCACATTGGAAACAACAACAATAACAACAACAATAACAACAACAATAACAACAACAATAACAACAACAACAATAACAACAACAATAACAACAACAATAACAACAACAATAACAACAACAATAACAACAACAATAACAACAACAATAACAACAACAATAACAACAAACACTCATCATCTGAAACGATAGCCCATAGGTTCGGTTCACGTGAATGTAGGCACACACATTGACATCCCAGCAATGTAAAAGACGCGCATTGTGTGCACACGCGCGCTTGGAGCGAGCGCCCTTTTGTGCAATTTGATCGCTTCTTGGGAACCCGCTGCGTGTTACAAACTCCGCGTGGGCGAGCGCGAGATTGCTAACGTGTGCGCGTGTGCCATTGTGTGTGTGTCAGTGTGTGTGTGTGTCAGTGTGTGTGTGTGTCAGTGTGTGCGTGCCAGTGTGTGTGTGTGTGTCAGTGTGTGTGTGTGCCATTGTGTGTGTGCCAGTGTATGTGTGTGCCATTGTGTGTGTGTGCCAGTGGGGAGCGGTAGTGTAGCGGTTAGCGCGCTGCGCTATGAACCTGGCGACCCGGGTTCGATTCCCGCTCACGGCTAACACCAGTGACGATTATCTGAACCGGTCCTGGGCCTCCCCTAGGTCGACTCAGCCTTAAATGAGTACCTGGTGCGGTGTGTAAACATCGCCACTAGGGAGACAAAGGCGGTCGGGTGTGGTGCTGGCCACCCACCCCCTCGTGTACCGTTCCGGCCTTCATAGGTGCTCGCTAACAGCACTTGCCCCTACAGTCTGTTCAGGCTATACGGGGGATCTTTGTCTTTATCTTTGTGTGCCAGTGTGTGTGTGTGTGTGTGCCAGTGTGTGTGTGTGCCAGTGTGTGTGTGTGCCATTGTGTGTGTGTGTGCCAGTGTGTGTGTGCCATTGTGTGTCAGTGTGTGTGCGCCATTGTGTGTGTGTGTGCCATTGTGTGTGTGTGCCAGTGTGTGTGTGTGCCAGAGAGGGAATGCGACGGTGAGTGACAGTTCTGAGTATCAGCACCCACCTTACGATGACATACATGACGAGAACGTTGCCCACGAGGCCGACCACGCACACGAGCGAGTAGAGGATGGGAATGACGATGGCGATGGTGGACGGGGTTGCCGGGTTGTCGATCTCCGGTCCGTCGTCGTCGTTGTTGGCGTTGTGGCAATTCCACACCGGCGCGGCAGGCACGGGACTGCCGCTGCTGCCGTTGTGTGTGACCGGCGGCCAGTCCCAGGAGCAAGCCAGCAAGCTCTGGTTGGTGGTATCATTTTCCAAGTCTAATTTCGGGTTAAAACTATCCATGTTAGAGCCGAAATGTGTTTTTTTTAGCCTGATTTCCTGAAGATACAACCAAACACCCCCCCCTCCCCGCCCCCAAACTAATGCTCCGTCGTGATAATAACGCACACGTTGTGAGACCTAGAGTTTAAACATACACGTGGCATTTAAAATGTGGATATGTACAGAGCACGCGCAGCAGCACTACGCTGTGTATGTAACGTGGACTTGTACAGCCTGCAGGATATGTGACAGAAAACCCGCCGCTAACCACCAAGTTCTACCGAGAGCACCCCCTCCTAACTTTTAAATGAACGGCCGCTGCAGTTAAGCGCCGGGGTTGAGTGATGGCGGTAGAGGCTACAGGTTTCGGAGGCGCGCAGCACTTTCAGATGAAACCATTCGTGGGAAAAACAAAAGGACGATGACCACCACCAACCACCACCAACCACAACTGCCACGGCCAAGACTTTGCAGGTGTCACGCGCTTGGTCACTCGTGGTGGCAGTGTCTCCTGCTACCGTCTGGAAGCGCATAAATTGCGAAGGAAATGATAATGCGCTGTGACGTCGCGTTGATGCGTTTGGTAATGGGTGGGAAGTGTCTCTCGCTTTTCCCACCCCCTTTACATTTCACATCCCTCCAAGCGTCACATCTTGGGGTGTTCCCGTGAGCCCAACAACAACAACAATCAATCTCAATGACTTATGTGAACGTTCTCCTAAAAATCGCATTGCAACGAATTACAGTGATCAACTGCCCTTAATTCATGAGAATCCCATCAATTATATTACCAAAAAATTATTTAGCTACACGCATGCATCTTACAATATACGACGGATTGTGTAATGTTTTTTAAGTGAAATACAGTCTTAAAATTAAATTCGGAAATTTAAAATACTCACTGAGAACCCATCACATATATATGGTAGAATGCGATGTTTTTAACTTTTCCATTGCTCACAAAAAAATAGAAATGATCGCAAGGGGTCCTCCTCCTCCCACACGACCAGCCGAAGAGACGCAGCATTTCGCTACTCCAGGCGCATCGGTGAAGCCTGCTCATTGCGCTGCAACAGGATCAAAATGATTCCGCGACAAAATGATCGATACATTATGTTAATGCTTTAGGCCCATAAACGGAGTAATTGGGCGTAGCTTTGCCCATACAAGGCATACTGGAAGGGGAATCGACGGATTTTTAACGTTCCAATGCTCGATGAAACGAGAATCGACCGATTTTTAACGAGACGAAGCTTGATCCATGCTTCATTCAAAGCGCCCTAATTAGGCTATGCCTTGTTGACGGTGATTGGCTTCCTTTCTATATTAACAAAATGTATCATTCAATCTGTTGCAGATTAAGTTCATCTTGTCACAGCGCGTCTTGCTGTCCGCTGTCCAGTATCTATACAATCGGCGTAATAGTAGCCGACACTGTTGTTTTAATAGCTGATGTGTTTTCAATATTTCGGCAGAAAATAAATCAGGCGTGCACAGTTGTGGTGTTTATTTGCACGTGGTGCAGTATTGCATTGCGGAGTGGCACCACGACCTGTGCATATATAGTTTTAGTTAAAGAAAAAAAAGCAATTTTGTCAGGGTCAGTCATGTATTAAGTGGACTCTGGTGGAACCACGAGGGGGAGGAGAGGGTGGACGGGGGATTGGCAAATAGGTAATCCCCCCCCCCCCCACCACTAAAAAAAAATCCCGTAAACGGGGATGTATAAAACGATTTACTCAACGGTAAAATAACAAAAATAGTGTCTTATTAACACCGAAACAGAGGAGCATGGATTGGAGAACATACACAAAGTTCGATACATCATATTGACTAATCTAGAGTTGAAGCTTTCGTGACTGCAGAAATGACTATAGTCATTGATTCTTTCGGTAAAGTCACATATGTAGAAATAAAATAAAATTTTAATAAATCACAAATAAAAATAAATCACGATTGTAAGCAAAGTGGATGGGCCTGGGATGAACACGTGTCGCTCGAACGGGTGGTCGAGACTCATGACGGAATTGCAGGCAAGGGAATTCAGCGCATATTATCTCCCCCCCACCCCATGGAGATGGAGTGGTAACATTGGATCGCTTGCAAGGAGTGAGGTGAATTGTTACAGCGCAGAAAGGTGAGAGCTCGCTAAAGCTTGATAAACTTTTGACTTAAAACGTTCGTGACTGCAGGAATTCATATTCTTTGGTTCTTTCGGTAAAGTCACGTAGATCGAAAAATAATAATAAACCATTCATGTAGACTGTAGCCTGGTTCTTAATCAGAGTGAGTGTACTGGCAGTCTATAATGTAGACTGTAGCCTGGTTTTTAGGCTTGGTGAACTTAATACTAAGGCTACAGTCTACATTATAGACTTTAATTTAATGTAATATTTGTTTTATCATTTTTCTTTTTATTCACTTTATTTTTATTATTATTTCTTTATCTACGTGACTTTACCGAAAGAACTAAAGAACTTGAGAAACTTGTCCAACGGTGGATTGTTGATGGATTATGCTTAACACGGTGCTTCTCATATTAAATGTTACACATCGCCTAACGTTACAAACCGCGTGACATCAAGCAGACATCCCATCGAGTGTCCTCATCCAGCCCAACCGCCTCGTTCCCGATCCCACGAACCACAGCGTCCACCCCCCTACCTCGCTTAACGCGCTCACGCGTGTCCCTGAGTACGTATGCAGCGAGACCCTTTCGTCGCTACGCCCTCCGTTGTAACTAAGGTTCTTAAGCGGCCTCAGTCAGCGCCTGGTACATTAAGCCTCGTTGGGGCGCAGCCCTGCAGGTGCTTGCTCATGCCACACTGCTGGCAGAAGGGCCTTCCATTTGAGAGAGCTCTGGAAAGGTCGGTCATCCCTCTTTACACGGCAACTGGAGATGCGGAATTTAAACGACAACGTAAATTATTGATCACGCCCGGTGCTGCACTTTTCAGGATTTCGCCATTTTCAACGTTCTTCAGTAAAAGTAAGTCACGATGTCTGAAAAGGAACCATTAAGTGTAAGTGATAGCAGAAGTGGACAATAGATGGTCAACCAATGTAGTAGATATGTTGTCTATATATATATTTTATTTTACGACTTATTTTGAGTATTGTAATTTTTTTAAGACGTTATAGATTTTCCAGTAAATATGTGTTTCATAAAGGTTTGCTTTATTCCTCTCAGTGTGATATTATTACGTCGTGGGACTCATTTTTGTTCAGATGAACGCATCTCCAATATCTAATTAAAGTCGATGGGGAAATAGTTCGATATACGGAATTTGGCTTTACGGACAACTATTCAGGAATGTATCTGCTCCGTATATTTTACGACTTATTTAGAGTATTGTAATTTTTTTAAGACGTTATAGATTTTCCAATAAATATGTTTCATAAAGGTTTGCTTTATTCCTCTCAGTGTGATATTATTACGTCGTGGGACTCATTTTTGTTCAGAGGAACGCATCTCCAAATATCTAATGAAAGTCGATGGGGAAATAGAGTTCGATATACGGAATTTGGCTTTACGGACAACTATTCAGGCATGTATCTGCTCCGTATATCAAGTGATGCCCTATTAATAAGATTTTTGTTTTATATAATTCACAAGTGCCCATCCATCTATCATATCTCCCACACAGAAAGAAAACATGACTAAAGCAAAATAAATAATGTTATCGCTGAAGATATTCCTGGAATATTGTCAGTTATCAGAATTTTGAACGTTTTTTTGCAATTATTAATTGCTGCTTACAAGTAGGCCAGCGAGTGCCTTTGGCAAAGGAAGATGCTACCACCATGCAACATTTTCCATCTACATTCATAAGCCCTTGTGAACCAACGTTTGCAGGAGTGTTCAAGCAACCATGAACATTTCGGTGCTCTCAGTTGGATCACCTTCACAATAATTTCTCGTAGTAGAGTCCAGTACGTGCTCATGTAATGCTGTTGCAGATGCATTCCGAGATGGTCATGTCACTGAAGTTATATGCGACATGTTATCTTCATCGTCTAGTATGGAGGAAGGCGTGGGTTCAATTCCGATCCTGACACCTGTGTATTTGGAGTCTGCATGTTCTCCCCGTGGTCGCGTGGGGTTTTCTATGGATCCTCTGGTTTTTCCCTCCACATTTAGAATCAACATGCATTTAGAATATTTGGCTGATATACATTTCCACATAAGCCACTTCGTTGAGCTTTTACACTATGTAACACAATCTTTCTTCCTGGGTAGTAAGTGTTATTTCGTAATTGCTTATGCTTTAAAAGTATAGAAAATGGCTATTATTCCCCGCATAATGTTGCTTTTGTAACCAGGACAGTGATATTTTGAAATTTACCTATTTTCAATGAGAAAACGGGCGAATTTGTGTCTTTTCGTTCACATAAAGTCAGAAAACAACAACATATGAATCAAAATGAACATGTATTTATACTAAAGTAATACAAAAACGACTACAAAAGATTTGGAAGTTAGTAGTTTTTCGAGATTTACGATTATACTGTAAATCACTTTCACGCATCAGCCTCCAAATGTAGTCTCCCATCATGTTCTCGTTATACTGTCCTTGGTAGCGGCGTTCAAAGTCCAGCATATCCTGGTGGAAGCGCTCGCCTTGCTCCTCCGAGTATGCTCCCATGTTCTCCTTGAATTTATCAACGACTACAAAAGATTTGGAAGTTAGTAGTTTTTCGAGATTTACGATTATACTGTAAATCACTTTCACGCATCAGCCTCCAAATGTAGTCTCCCATCTTGTTCTCGTTATACTGTCATTGGTAGCGGCGTTCAAAGTCCAGCATATCCTGGTGGAAGTGCTCGCCTTGCTTCTCCGAGTATGCTCCCATGTTCTCCTTGAATTTATCAAGATGAGCATCGAGGATATGGAATTTGAGGGACATCCTACAGCCCATTGTACCGTAGTTCTTCACCAGAATCTCAACCAGCTCCACATATAGTTTTCGACCTTGTTATTATCCAGGAAGCCACGAACCACTGCTGACAAAGCTGTTTCAAGCCACTTTCTCCTTACGAGTAAGCTTCTAGGGGAATTCATTGCACTCCAGGATCTTATTTATCTGTGGTCTGACGAAGACACCAGCTTTGGCCTTTGCCTCAGACAGCTTAGGGAAGAAGTCTTGAAGGTACTCTTTGGGTCTTTACCGAAAGACCCAAAGAGTATGAATTCCTGCAGTCCCGAAAGCTTTAAGTCAAGATTTAAGTCTTGAAGGTACTTGAAGGCTGCCGACTCCTTATCTACAGCTCTGACAAATTGTTTCATAAGGCCCAATTTGATGTGCAGTGGTGGCATCAGCACCTTCCGGGGGTCCACCAGTGGCTCCCACTTGACGTTGTTCCTCCCCACAGAGAACTCGGTCCGCTGTGGCCAGTCCCGCCTGTGGTAGTGCCCCTTGGTGTCAAAATCTTTTGTAGGCATTTTTGTATTACGTTAGTATAAATACAT